CTCAGGAAGCTCCCAGCAAGCCTTGCGCGTCACCATGGCAACACGACCCAGCCGGACCCGGAACACAAACCGCGTAAACTTGTGCACGGCGCCCACGGGGGACGCAGGCAACTTGGTTCCGCGACCCCAGGCGCACAGCCATGCGGACGACTCCCGGTTCCAGCCGGATCACAAAACACCCGGGGTGCCCGTCGCCCCTGCCGGCTCCGGGACACTCACTCGACAGCACAGACCAAACTACACCACCTAATAAAAACCTCCCCACCCCACCAAAAAACACGTAACAGCCATTTGATTCTTCAGCTCAGACAGTGAGAAAGATGGTTTATTGTACACGGGTTACACGGGGCCACAGTGAGAACAGAACGAGTCCAGATCGCCGCAGGCCCGCTGTTGTGGGGACCGTGGGCTGTTGTTGTAGGGAGGCAGGCCGGCCTCGGAGGCGGTGTCCGCGGGCTCCGGGTCCCTCAGTCGAGACTCAGACCGGCGGCGGCACGGTCGGTCCAGCAGCTCGTACCAGCATCCCGCCCCGGCCTCCTCTTCCGCTCCTCGGCCTCGCTGGGTGCACCCGCAGGTTTACTTGGACCTCTGCCTCATCTTTCTTCTCTTGCGCTTCAGCCTGCAACGGAAAGCAGACAAACCTGCAGGGTTCCTCCTTCCAACCATCGTCTTCACAGGACGTGAAAAGGCTGGCGGGATCCGCAGGCGCTGGAGCTCGCACTGCATGGACGTGTGGGAGCGCCTGCCTCCGCCACCAACACTTCCAGCTTACGGTTTCCTTTTTTTTATTTTTTTTTTCCTGGGCTCAACGAGACCCCACCATGCTTCGCCCCACTGCCCTCCGTAGTCGTCAACATACCTGCGCATACGCTTCTTCCTCCACTAGAAGCCCGATCACGTGAGGGGGGAAAAAGAGATGTTAGCAACAGGCTTAGCCACGGACAACAGGAAACCAGCCCTGACGAAGAACTGGAAGGAATCGCGGCGGTGTTTACACACCGGCTCTCCTCCCCATCCTCTCCCCACCGGGGACTACCGAGGCTCAGGCCGGCCTCTCCCAACCGTCCCCTGAGCACCTTCGGAAACCAGGAGAGGAACGATGGCGGAGATTCCCTGGCTGGACCTCCTCCTCCCACCGCCCAAGCTCAGCACTTAGGAAATGCTCACCTTCGCTCTCATGGCGCAGGAGTCCCTGGAGCGAAAGAGAAAAAGGTTACAGTTAGTTTGCTGCGATGATGGTAGACGCAGGGGTCCGATGTGAACGGATTGCACTCCAAAGCCCGGGAGGCAGGAACACGGCCACTCACCAAGGAAGATGGCGCTAAGGCCGAGAGAGCGGGGAGAGCGGCCTACTGCTATTTAAGGGCGTGCTTAGTGTCGTCACTTCCGACGACGCCCCGCCCTCCTGTTTTCCCCCGAGGGGCGGGGCAGGGCGGCTCGAGCGAGGAACGGTGACTTCCGGCTGTTTTACGGGAGGAAAACAAAATATTTTGAGTGCGAGTTACCAAGCCTCACCTTTTCTAAGGTTTATTTTAAGGGCCTTGTATTATTTCAGTACGCGCACCCGTTTCCCATATGGGAATGAAAAAGTAGATGGAGGAAAAATTAACTTCCGTTTACTCCCACGTTGCTTCTTGGGAGTTGCAGTTTCTTGGTAAATACCTCCATTTTACTACGATTAGGTGTGGCTTGTAATAAGAATTACTGGTTTTAGCCGGGCGTTGGTGGCGCACGCCTTTAATCCCAGCACTCGGGAGGCAGAGGCAGGCGGATCTCTGAGAGTTCGAGGCCAGCCTGGTCTCCAGAACGAGTACCAGGATAGGCTCCTTTAATCCCAGCACTCGTAAGGCAGAGACAGGTTGATATCTGAGACCAAGGTCAGCGTGATCTACAGAGTGAGTTCCAGGACAGCCAGGGCTGTAGAAAAATCCTGTCTCGAAAAGCTTAAAAAAAAAAAAAAGTTACTGGTTTTGGAGTGGCGTGTTGGTGGTCCCATTCTTGGGATTCTTGAGAGTCTGATGCAGAGGCAGGCAAATATCTGTCGACCAGCATAGTCTACATAATGACGCCCTACCTAAATAAATGCATAAATAATTCCTAATTTCATTTTGGTTTAACTGCCCCAGAACCCCCACCCCCACCCCAGTTATGTTGCTGTGTAAATAGTTTGATTTCCAAAATTCTAAAGATTTAAGGTTTTAGAAACAGACGAATGCAGGTACGGCACGCCTTTAATCCCAGCACTCTGGAGACAGAGACAGGCCGCTCTCTTCCAGGCCAGCCTAGTGTTCAGAGTGAGTTCCAGGGCAACCATAGCTATGCAGAGAAACCTTGTATCAAAAAAACAAAACAGTCCCCCAAAAAATTAGAAACAGGAGGATGTAAAATGGCAAGTTGAGAAAGCTTCCCTACTACAAAGAGACATTATCGTTCGTGGTGCTTTGATTTTAAGCCACTATACCTAGGAATTTTTAAAATTGGTGTCTCTGTATATGCAGGGGCATGCAGGTGCCAGCTGAGGCCACAAGGGGCATTTGAATTCCCTGAAGCCATCTTCACAAGCTGTTGTGAGCTGTCCAGCATGGGTGCTGGGAATGAACTCAGGTCCTCTGGACCCCACCTGTCACTTACACTGCTTTGTTTTGAGAAGGTCTCATGAGTTTAGAACTCTTGGTTTTTCAAGACAGGGTTTCTCTGTGTTGCCCTAGCTGTTCTGAAATGTGATGTGTAGTCCAGGCTGGCACTGAACTCACAGAGATCTGCCTGCCTCTGCCTCCCTAGTGCTGGGAATTAAAGGTGCGTGCCACCAGTCCTGGCCTGGAGGTGTCCTTTAACTCCTCTTTTAGGGTAATGTATTGGGGTTCTCAAGGACAACAGAGTTTATAAAAAGGGGATTTATTGGAATGATTTACAGGCTGCAGTCCAGCTAATCCAACTCTGGCTGGCTGGGAATAGAGAAACTGAAGAGTTCGATGTTGCTCAGTCCACAAGGTGGAGGTCTCAGCCGCTCTCCAATTTGTGCTGGAATCCTGAAGAAGTCAGCTCTAATGCTAGTGCAGGAATGAGCTTGCTAGCAGGCACAGACAAGCTGGCAAAGAGCAAAGGCTTCCTTCTTCCATGTCCTTACATAGGATTCCAGCAGAAACTGTGACCCAGTTTCTGGAAGCTACATTTTCTCATCTAGGCAAAGCTGGTGCAGCACACCTTTAATCCCAGCACTAAGGAGACAGAGACAGGTGGATCGCTGTGAGGACAGCTATGGCTAAACCTTCTTTCCAGTCTTATTGTCAGATGATAATTACCTGAATTAATGAAAGCAGTTCCTATTATATTTGGCTACCAGGATATAGTGGCACACACCTTTAATCCCATCGCCCAGGAGATGATGGCAAGGAGATGAGTTTGAGGCCAGTCTCCTCTACCCAGTGAGTTCCAGGTTTGCCTACGCTACTTAAGATTTTTGTGTGTGGAGGAGGCATGGGGGAAGATGGGTGTGGGTGGATCACACCTCTAATCCTAGCACTAGGGAGGCAGATCTCAGTGAGTTCAACGCCAGCCTGGTCTACAACCTGAGTTTCAGGACAGCCAGGGCTGTTCACATAGAAACTCTGTCTCCGGGTGGGAAACCACCAACCCCCCCCCCCAAAAAAAAAAAACTAGAAGAGTTAAGGATTTAAAAAGAAAGGGAGAGGGGGGCTGGAGAGATGGCACAGAGGTTAAGAGTACTGACTGCTCTTCCAGAGGTCCTGAGTTCAATTCCCAGAAACCACATGGTGGCTCACAACCATCAGTTATGAGATCTGGTGCCCTCTTCTGGTGTGCAGATATACATAGAAGCAGAATGTTATATACATAATAAAATCTTAAAAAAAAAAAAAGAAAAGGCAGGTGTAGTGGAGGATGTCTTGAATTCCAAAGAAAGGGAGAACAGGCATAGTAGCAACATGCCTGTCTGCAATCTTAGCATTTAGAAGGCTGAAGCAGAAGGATCATAAATTCTATGCAAGCAGCTTGTGATACACAGCAGGTTCAAGGCTAGCCTGCATAAAAAACTCAGAAACAAGTATAGAAGACTTCATCTTGTTAAAATACTTCAGATATTTTTGAGACAAGGTTTCATTGTGTTGTAGCTTTGGCCAGCCAGGATCCATAGATGACAATAACCACAGACTCAAGACATTGGTCTCACAAGAACCGAGATTAAAAGTGTGTAAAGCCCCTGGGCGTTGGTGGTGCATGCCTTTAATCCCAGCACTCGGGAGGCAGAGGCAGTGGGATCTCTGTGAGTTCAAGACCAGCCTGGTCTACAAGAGCTAGTTCCAGGACAGCCTCCAAAGAGAAACCCTGTCTCGAAAAACCAAAAAAAAAAAAAAAAAAACAACAGAACTGGCTCAATACTTGAAATTTTTTTTAAAGATTTTATTATTTGTTTGTTTATTATGTATAGTCTTCTGCCTTCATGCCAGCAAAGGGCACCAGATCTCATTCAAGATGGTTGTGAGCAACCATGTGGTTGCTGGGAATTGAACTCAGGACCTCTTGGAAGAACAGTCAGTGCTCTTAACCGCTGAGCCATCTTTCCAGCCTCCATACTTAAGAGATTTTTATGTGTATGTAAATTATAATCCTTCCTTCCCAGTAGTTTCCTGAAAATTTCCTCATTGTGGCCAGTCATGGTGTGTATGAACCTAACACTAGGTGGATCTGTGAGTTTGAGGTCACCTAGTTTACATAGTGAGTTCCAGAACAGATAGGACTTTATAAAGAGATTCCCCAAAACAAAACACAAGTCAGAGGACAAACTGCTGGGTCTGAACTATTAACTGACCTATTCCCATTTTTAGCCCTTCAATTTTCCTTTTTCAGACACTGGTCAACAGATAGGACCAGTGATCCACCTGCCTCTGCCTCCCGAGTACTGGAATTAAAGGCGTGTGCCACCACCACCCTGGCTCTAAAAACTCTTAACAGAATGATTTTATAGCCTGAGTGTGTCTCAAAATAAGAACATTTTACAAATCTTTATTGCCAGTTTACATGGCTCACGTTTATAATGGTTTTAGGTTTGCAGAAGAATTAAGGAAGACTTTCCCCCATTATTCTCTGTCCCCACATACTCTCTCAATAAGCGTGTCTACTACCAGCCAATCAGACTTGGCACACTGAGAACACTAGCTGAGGCTGAGGCAGGATTATTACCATGAGTTTGAGGAATACCAAATCAAACCTCTGTACTTTGTAACAGAGGTTGTACATATTCACCCTTAAGCTTTTGCTCACCCAAGCATTCATAGTTCAACAGGGCTTCAAATATAGCAACATTACTCAAGACCATCACACACTGAAAACTTGTCTAACAGATTTTGGGTGACTAGGGATGTAGTTGGTAGCGTGAATGCACAAAAGATTCCCCCAGCACTGAATAAATGAGGTGTACTTGACTTATGCCTGTAATCCCAGCACTCATGAACTAAGGCAAACTTGCTGTGTTGCCTCTGCCAATACACAGTAAGTGCCCCAGTCCTAACACAACAATGCTTGCATACTTTGAATTACCAAACTTCCAGAGTAAGTAGTTATTTTGAGATTCCAAAACCAGGTATGGCGGCACATGCCTTTAATTCAAGCACTTGGGAGGCAGGCAGAGGCAGGAGGATCTGAAAATTCAAAGCCAGACTGGTCTACACAGAGTTCCGGGACAGCCAGCTACATATAAAACAAGATGTTACTTCCTAAACGGACAGTCCTCCAGTTGATCATTTCCTTGAATGAGTCTTCCAACCTCTGAGCAACAGGGAGGGAAAAAGCTTAAGAGGTAGCTCAGCTACACAGTGGTGGTATATGCACTTAGTTCTACTAGGAGGCAGAAGCTGGGAGATCTGAGCTCAAGGCCAGGCTGGTCTGCAGTTTTCATGAACAGCCAGAGCTACACAGAGAAACTATAGAGAAACTTCCATACACACCACTGCTACAAAGGAAAAAAAAAAAAAAGAAAGAACAAATGCATTACATTATAAGCAAATCCAAATTTATTTTAATGCCATGTCAATTCAAAAACCGCTTAAGTTAGTGGGAGCCTTGGTTCCCTGGGACAGCATGCCAGAGGTACAAATTGTAACCTTTTCTCTACAAATCCCCAGGAGCCATCCAAGTCCACAATCTGAAAGTCAGTTCTCTTCAGTCTACTCCTCTGGTTCCTGGTTTTTCTTTCTTGGGAGGGAACTCAAAATATTTCAAACAGGAAGCGGGCGTGGTGGCGCACGCCTTTGGTTCCAGTGCTCATGAAGCAGAGGCAAGTGGATCTCCAAGTTTGAGGCCAGCCTGGGCTACATAGTTCCAGGATAGCCAGAGCTACATAGTGAGACTCTGTCTCAAACCAAAAAAATAGGAAGAAGAAAAAAAAAATCAAATCTGGAACAAA